AGGAGTTCGCAGGTACGAGCCGAGCTGCTGCCCGCGGCGTGGGGCGCTGCTCCCTGTGCAGAGCGTGCCCGCGGTGCTGGGCACCACATGGCATCCCCACCCCTGCCCGGGGCACGGCCGCACCCCCTTCCCATCCCCTTCCCCAGGGCACCCCGCTGCTCCCCATCCCCCGGGGCTGTGCCCGGGCGGACGCTTGCCAGGGTTGTCGCAGGGGTCACCCACATCCTGGTGCCAGCCTAAGGGCATTTCAGCTTGGGACAGGCTCCCAGCAGCCATCCCAGGCACCGGCCTGGACCCAGCACCAATGCCAGCCTCCGAGACATCCCAGCAGCCCCAAAGGGCAGAGCCGGATGGTTCCTTGGGACATGGTAGCCCCAGCCCTGCCCTGCCGGCTTCTGCCTGCCCGCAGCCTGGCTCACTGTGGGCGCTGACAGCAAATGAGTGCTCCCCAAGTTCCTGCCACCTCCTCAGCACCAGGGACCTCATCCAGGTGACCCGCGTGAGCTGGAGGCAGCATGAGGAAGGCAGAAGGGTGGAACTGGGTCTGAGCACCTCAGAGCCCATGGGCTTTGCTGTCTGGCCCCCACCTGAGGCCTGGGGGTCCCAGGGGGGGCAGCTTTGGGGGGACTCACGCTCTTGGTGTCTCCGGGCAGCGAGCCGAGCAGCAGCAGATGCACGAGGCCGCTCGGAGAGGCCCCAGTCTGCCGCTGCATCCAGGATCATCGGCATCAGCCTCCAGGAAGCTCAGCAGATCCTCAACGTGTCAAACCTCAACCCAGAGGAGATCCAGAAGGTAGAGGCTCCCTCAGAGCCAGGGAGAGACAGTGCTGGCAGGGCCTTGCCCTCCCCACGTCTGCTGCCTGGTGTAAGGGTGACGACTGGTCCCTGGAGGGAATGTGGGTGCTGTCCCAGGCTCACTTAATCACACTTTGAGATTTCCCTGCCCCAGCTGGAGGAGCGTACCAGCAGCTTGCAGGCATTAGCAGCTCACCAGGCTTGGCCCTCGCATTTGCCCAGTGGTGCTGCTCGGGGGAGGGGATATGGCCTCCCTGGAGATGCCCAATGGGAGTGTGGGGACCTGCTGGGGGTCAGGCAGAGCCAGCCGTGTCCCTGAGATCACACTCGTCACTTCCAGCACTACTGTGGGGAGCGGGAGGCTGCTGGGGTTCAGGGCCAGGGAGGGTGGAGGGGATGAATGTGATGGGGAACTACTCTTCGGCAGAACTACGACCACTTGTTCAAGGTGAACGACAAGTCGGTGGGAGGCTCCTTCTACCTGCAGTCCAAGGTGAGCAAAGGGAGCAGAAGACGGGAGCTGCGCTGGCCCTGCCCTCGGCACCTTCCCCTGCCTGGGATTTGGGAGAGAGCAGAGCCCGAGCGTCACCACAGATGAGGCAGGGAGGGGAGGGGGCAGCCCTGTCCCTCCATGTCACCCTGTCCCTCTGTCCTGCAGGTGGTGAGAGCCAAGGAGCGGCTGGATGAGGAGCTCCGCATCCAGGCCAAGGACGAGAAGGAGAAGGGGTGGAAAGCTGAGACGTGACTCTTGCCACCCCCACGCCCCGTGTCCCTTGCCCTTAACTTATAGGTAGCCAATAAATACTATGTTCTCCAGCGCCTGGCCTGGCTGCTCTGCACCCCAGGGAGGAAGAGGGGACTTGCCCACCTCTGCCTGCTGCCCCAGAGGGGCTCGGCTCCTGCGAGGGGCTGGCGGGGCTGGGTTTCGCCCTGGGGAGGAGGAGGAGGGAGGTGGCTGGGGAAGAAGGGGTGTTCCTGGGGCACTGAGGGCTGCCAGGGCTCAAATGGCACCCGGGGAGGCTGCAGGAGCTATTTTTGTGGTGGGTTTGGATGCTCTTGGCCTGAGCGCACGGATGCCTCTGGCTCCGTACCATGGGAATGCCGGGAGCACCGTTACCTTTCTCCCACCGCAGGCAGGCAGCCAGGACAGCTGCTGGGCTGGGGC